GCAGTGGCTTTTCAAGAGGTGTATCCAAATATAGAGGAGTTGCAAGGTAAACCTACTTATCACCATGTTAATCTTTTGTTTCTTATAAGTTAACAACTAATTCGAAATTTCTAAGAATGAACGCTTGTGAGAACTGAAGCCACCATCACAATTGGAGATGGGAGAGTTTTCGAAAACAAGTACCTCTACCTCGGCACTTATGGTGAGTTTCAATCCGATCTCTAGGGTAGCGATTTCCACACTTCCCTTTTTGTCATCTATGCCCCAAATTGAGTATAATACTTTTTCTGCGCTCACAGAAGGGGTGTAAAAGGCTAAAAAATGAGCGTTAAAATCGTTGGCTGACATTTAAATCTATTTGTTTCAAAGTACGTTGGGTGTGTTAAATGGTTTATGAGGCTTATTTTATTTCATCAAGGCACCCAGGAAGAGGCTGCTCATGCTTATGTTATTGCAGCAAGAGAATACAGAGGCATAAATGCAGCGACCAACTTTGACTTGAAAACATACATCAGATGGCAGAGGCCAAGGGCCAACTCCCTTGGCCCTCAAGAACTGAAATCGAATGCAGATCAGCCTCTCCCCAATATGCCATCTTCCTCTGATGGTATCCCCCCGAGCAAGGAAGGAAGACAGATGTCCATGTTCCAACCCAACTCCTTCACCGTAGATGACATAGACACCTCAAAAAATCGCTACATTTTCCCAAGGCAGCAGCAGCAGCAGCCTTGTATGCCCGTTAGCCCCTTCACCAAGTCATCACCTTCGCCAACAGCTCTTAGCCTCATCCTTCAATCCTCAGTATTTAAAGAGCTGGTGGAAAAAAATTTAAATGGAGATAATGAAGAGAGTGAGAAGAATGATTTAAACCTCCTTCCGGAACAGAACAACAGCGACAATATTAAGCTGATATTGTACGAAGGAATGAAAAATAATCCCTTTACCTGTTCTTCAAACAGCGGTGTTTTGCCTGCATTAGAGTCACAGGAGGAGAGCCTGCTTCCCTTGAGCAACTCAAGGGACCAACCCCTTTGGAATGGTGCCTTAAACATGTTTACTTCCCCTGACTTTAACTAAATTAACTTTAGTTTTAGTTTGAGCACTTGTAATGATCAATTATGTGTAAGTATACTAAGAAAACACTAATAGAAAATGATCAATTATGTGAAATAATCCCTTTCTCATAATGTAATTAACATGTTTTATATACTAAGAAAACACTAATAGAAAATGATCAATTATGTGTAAGTATCTCTCCAAGTTTGGGAGTTTGCATGCATGACCTTTCTGTATTCTTAACATGTATCTGATACGAGAATGCGGTGCACCAGTCCCTTATGTAATAACATCCAAAATTAGCTAGATAGCTACTCTTAACGGTCAACAGCTGCATGGGAGCGGTTACCCACACTTCCCACCAAATGTTAGATTAAGACGCTTAATTATAATTAGCTTCATGCCTTCTTTAGGTGAGTCTGGTCTCATGTTAAAAGACATCGATCCCCCGCCCCCAGACAAACCAATAGATAAGCCAGTTGGTTAATTAATAATCTCTTGTGACCGGTGTAATCTGTTGGCTTGCCTTGGCTTGGCTGGGTCTGCTTCAACACCCTCGATCAACCTTGTCCTCGCCCAACCGGACAGTTTCCTCGTCGCAAGGTGTCGGGGGCTGCCGACGAAGTACCAACAACAATGGCAGCGATGTTTAACTCGTCCTCCTATTTCTTTCTGTGTTTGTTTTTCTTGTCCTTTGCTTTATTCGTTTCGAGCCACGATGATCCAACCGATGTTGCAAATGAAGATACGCAGGTATTAGGTTTAGATGCGTACTGGAAACAACGAGCCGAAGAAGCTGAAAAGGAGGCCCTGGAATCCTACAATAAAAATCCTGAGCAAGTCACTGAAGAGTTCAATAATGAAGTTGGCAAGTAGGTCTAATTATTGCATGCAGATTTACAATTTGACAATGCCTATGAACGTTTGTTTAACAACATGAGTCTGACAAGAAAACGTTACTTCATACATTTATACACATATGAATATGTTTGGTTATCAATGACATATATACATACATACATATATATATATATATATATATTCAGGCTTATGTTAAAGGAAAACAGCACAAGAAGGAACTTGAGGGGTAACAAGGCTTATACGGGTCCATGCATGGCGACCAACCCAATTGACGCCTGCTGGAGGTGTGACCCTAACTGGGCTAACAACCGAAAGAAGATCGTAGGCTGCGCCCAAGGCTTCGGTAAAAAGACCACCGGAGGTAAGGATGGTCCTTTTTACGTGGTGACAATGGGCATAGATGATGACGTGCAAAACCCTAAACCCGGAACCCTACGCCACGCCGTGATTCAGAAAGGGCCTCTGTGGATATCATCTTCGCAAAAAGTATGGTGATTAGGCTGCAGCAAGAGCTGATGGTGACTAGTGACAAGACCATTGATGGTAGGGGAGCCAATGTTGTGATAGAAGAGGGTGCTGGCGTTACCCTCCAGTTTGTGAAGAATGTAATCATCACCAACCTTCACATAAAAATGATTGTCCCCAAACCCGGTGGCATGATCAGGGACTCTGTCGACCACATAGGTTTAAGGACCCAGAGTGACGGCGATGGTATCTCCCTCTTTGGTGCCTCCAACGTCTGGATCGATCACGTTTCCATGTCCAGGTGCGCAGATGGGCTCATCGACGCCGTCATGGGTTCCACCGCCGTCACCATCACCAACTCCCACTTCACTGACCACGATGAGGTACTTAAAATCTTAAACTAATTAAATAACCTCAGAAACACTTGTAGCGCACTCTGCTATATATAAGAGTTTTTACTCTTGCACCCGAAGTCTCGATTTAGAATTTCCCCTCCTCTTCTCGCTTGTATAAAAAAACTAATTAACTAACTTAACCTAATAATATAATATTAATTTATCGTAAATAACTACAATAATTTACTAATTAATGGTACGTACAAAATCATGCATGCATGCAGGCGATGTTGTTTGGTGCCAACAACGCCCACACTCAAGACAAAATCATGCAAATTACTTTGGCCTTCAACCACTTTGGTAAGGGACTGGTGCAGAGGATGCCAAGGGTCCGGCACGGATTCTTCCACGTGGTGAACAACGACTACACCCACTGGATCATGTATGCCATCGGAGGAAACATGAACCCTACCATCATCAGCCAGGGTAACAGGTTCATTGCTCCCTTTAACGGGGTCACCAAACAGGTAACATACAGTTTAATTACATGAATTAATTTTTTATTAATTAGTAAATACTTAGCCCCAATTAAGTGTGTACAAGCTCGAGTGCGGATGTTAATTTTTACCAAAACGTGTGCTAGCTCGACCGAAAAAGTAATCAGTAAATATAGTCCAAATATAACCGTGTATTATACATGCACAATACGTTCGTTCGTATTTAATATGCCATCTTGACTTCTGGATTTAATTGTATAGGTGACGCATAGGGAGAATACACCAGAGGCAGAGTGGAAGAACTGGGAATGGCGATCTGAGGGAGATTTGATGATGAATGGAGCTTTCTTTGTTGAATCTGGATCAGGAGCCAGCAACCACCCAGCAAAGTTGGACATGATGCCCTTCAAACAAGGGACCTTTGTCGGAACGCTCACAAAATTTTCCGATGCTCTAAACTGCGTTGTCGGCAAACCCTGCTAGGTTCCTTTTTTTTTTTTTTTTTAACGTGCACGCACACCAGTGAATGTAGTACATGTTTTTTCAAACTGAAAAAAAAAAATCTCTGAACATATGATCGAAGAAAGTGGATTTTTACATATGCGTTGCCATTGTCGCACATTTTTGTAGTTATTTTCTTATTCTCTTTTGGCTATTTTTTGGGGAAATAATGATGGGGAAAGAAACGAAGGAAGTGGGAGAGGGATATAAACCTAAGTTCAAATCTCAATGTAAACTGAAGAAAGTAGCAAAGGTCATGTCCAATCAAGAGAGTTAACAAATTGGGTAATGTCAGGAGATCAAAAATTTTAAGCCAAATTTACAAGTTAGAAGATGTGGTTGTAGATATTGGATTATTAACCAAGTGTCGATTAAAGTGCTTGTTTTTTATTTGGTTTGCAATCCTAACAAATTTTACTATAAAATTTAGAGTAATGCTACAGAGACTAAATTCTTACGCAGTTGGTGTGAATAAATCCCTGAATTTTCCATATTGCAGAGCCACTTGGAATATAAAGAAAAAACAAGGGAGATTAGTTTCAGTGGTTTACTTTTGATGTTGTGAGAAATGTAAGACCACCCAGTAGGTTTTGGGGTAAATATGACTTTATCAAGAACATTATAGATAAAAGCAAGCAATCTACTGTCCTTCGAGAAATGCAATTTATTTTACATGTATGAGAACTCCAGTCTAGTTTACAAGAAGCGAGATTCGTATTTTAGAGTAGGAAAATACATACACTGTTCTAGTCAACGAAACTAATTTCTATAGCATGGTAACTCTACTTCTACCGCTCAAATGTGCATTATCAATTACACACACGGGTCTAGTCAACCGAACCAATTTCGATTGCGGGGTAACTCTTCTTTTGCCACTCAAATGTGGGTTAACAATTACAGACACTGCTCTAGTCAACCGAACCAATTTTTATAGCGCCGTAAACTCTTCTTCTGCCACTCAAATGTAGATTAACAATTTGGTTATATATACACACACGTGCACGACATCAAGAGAGCGGAGATTCAAACTCGGGGCCTAGATGCAATGAACAATGCTGTCAACAGAGGAAGCTCCTTGCAAGATGGGAAAGATTTTAGATGAATAGAAGGGAGAGAACAAGGGAAGACTATAAGGTCGTAAGGGCGTCCTAATTTCTCTTATAAATAGGAAAACAAGGGAAATAGATAGTTTGATAGTAACAGAAAATGAATTACAGATTTTCAAAGCATATGGTTAGGTACGTAAACTAAACGACTGCATAAGGACAACACAAGGAACCCGAAATTAATACCGATACCGTCCCGTCGGTCTTATAATGGCAACTCAATCACTGTTCTCCAACATTGCAATTTCAGTTAAGCCAACAAAATAAGGTTCATAAGCTCCACTGTAGTGTTTAGTTCATCTTTCCATAATCCGAAACTTCAAAAATAAAACATCGAAATACATAAATGCGAAACAACTCAGCGGCTGCTGAGATTTTGTACATCAAACTTGAACTGGACCAAATAAACCTAGCTGTCTCATGCGTTATAACTACATTAGCATTAAAGCAGGCGATGCCGTCACGTTCTTTAGAATCTTGCAATCAACATCTGGTCGACACCGATCTGCAAAGATAGCGGAGTTAAGCACGAAGGAAGAATATCAATCGACACTCCACAGGATGCATGCAGTCTATCTACGGGACTGCCCCAGATCATTAATCTAAGCTCTAGCGCTACCCTATAGATACAAAGCGGGATCAAATCTTAAATCAATGCCTACCTTCGGGCCTCATTAACATGATATTGTCTTGAACTATAAGTTAATTAGCAACCGCCGCCAGACAGCAGTCAAAAATTAAAAGCACATAAAGAGAATAAAATGCAGCTCTCTCCCACAGATATGAAAAAATAAAACAGAGCTAAGTCCAAAATAAGCATGGCTAATTTTGCTTGGTAATCTAGGTCAAAGGTATCAGATATGGATACAAACAGACCGACTGTTCACGAATGACGCAAATACTATATAATTGAGTTTCTCTTCAAACCTTATCAGGTTGTTCTTCCGATACTCTCCTGTCATTTCAATATCATCTTTCACAATAGCATCAGTTGGATTTAAAGTTTCAGACAGAGAGTCCGCAATTTCTTTGAGGCCCTGCAAGTAAGTGGCACGAATTACAATTAAGTAGCAGATATTAATGCTTTAGCTATCAAGATTCCAGTGGCTGACATAGTAGTGTCAGAAACCAAAAGCACACATTATAAACTATAGGTGAGAATTGAATGGAATCACCCCGCTGAGATAGAGCAATGTCATTTTTGAGGCCTAATAAAACGACATGACCAACTCATCCTCCCATATAAACTAGATACATTTTGTAGGAAACGGGAAAAACTCGAAGGCCTATGATTTTTAGTAGCTACTTGGAAATAGCTTGAAATGAAGCCATATTTGACCTCTTTCCTTGCCCACAGTGTTATGGTGTAAAATGAAATGGAAACAAAGAGAACGCAAAGCTAGAGCATGTTGCTCCGTCAATGCACTAATTTGGCATCTAACTGCCATAGATTACTCTCTAGTCTTCTGAAAAACAATGGGAGAACCTGCCTTACAGTATTACATGGCTTTATCAACTATAAATAATAATAACAAATAATTATTAAGTCCACTGTTCACTATCTCCAACTAGCATATAATCAACAACCAAAAGAAAAGGGATTCTTAGGAACAAACCATCAAGCCTGAAGTATCTGAATATGAGAGTAAACGACCACGTGACTTCCCAGAGTTTTCAAGTTGCTTCTGCAGGTGGAAAAAATACACCATCCGGATGGTATTATTAAGTACAGGACCACAGTAAAAGATAAAGAACAGAGCGAAAAGCAACTTTGCGGTCACTATGCTGCTTTGATGAATTAATCCGAAACCACTGAGTAATAAGTAGCTTGCAATGAATTGATAACAGGTAGATCAACAATATCAGATGTTCCCGTTGCCACATTAACTTTGACTATGATATGAACTTATTAATTAAAAATAACCTTGATACATTGAACACAATTTTTATGCCTTACAATCAAAAGGTATTATAAATTCATGCATGGATGGGCACAAACCTGCAGAGTTTTAGGCATTTCAACTTTTTTTCCATCCACAAAATTGACCAGGTAGATAACACCAAGGTTTGCGAGATCCTGCACAACACATTTATGTAAGTATGACCTCAAGCAGACAAATAGATGATGCATGTACTGAACTAAATGCAAGAACCACTCAAACTTCTCCAAGCGAATACAAATTTGACTTACAAATTAGTTAGTTTCAGTTTTACAGATGGAGGAAGAGCCAAGTTATGCACAATAAAAATTTAGATCAAGCATGTCACCCTAAAAAACAAATTCTACAATTTCTCATCAATTAATTATGGCTCAACTATTCCAATAGAAGTAAAGCTGTTTTACCTGCTTGTGTTCAAGAGAACCTATCTTATGATCCTGAGAAAGGGAAAAGGAAAACAAGTTATTACTATTTCAAATAAAATGCACGTGTGCGTGAGAAGAAAGACATGTAAAGGACAACGAGTACATAAGGGAAAAGGAAAAGGTGTGTGCATCAGAAAGAAAGGTAAAAAAAATGACCTAAACCAACATAATCTCTAAGGAGAACTCACCAAACCAGAAACCATGCTCTGCAATCTACTCAAGTCATAGTCAATATCAGTGAGAGAATGTTGCACTCCAGCAACCTGTTTCACAAATTGTAACCAAATATAGAGATGACGCTAATAAGAAAGTAAAATATATTTCTAAAGTATGGTAATCAAAAGAAAGCCATATGAGGTTACTGATTACAAAATATCCATATGATACGAAAGAAAGAACGCATACCATACATCTAAGGTTAAATTGGAATAGGGCTTGTTAAATACTAAAATGTGTATATTTAAGACATCTTGCATCACGTCTAAATAGTGAATACCTAAAAACACCCCCGAAAACCATTTGTGAAAAATTATTCTATGTAAATCAACTGTGATCATATCAGAAGATTTTGCTTACTCACTACTTATGGAAATCTAACAAGAATCAGCCTCATTCAAGCTTTGAAAATTCATATGTATTGTTTTGAATCTATGAGTTGAGGATTCAATATGCAGCAAAGGACATACATCTTCCTTAATTGACCTTGAGAGCTCATTTTGCTCCGCCATTTTGTCATCAACATGCTGGATTCTCTGCGTGAGGTGCTTCTTTGCTTTCTGTCCAGCATAAGAATATCAAACACAGTTGAACTGTTTAAAAATCCATTCAATATATATGAGTTCTGCAAGCCAAGTTGATTTATGATCTCCTTAATAGAACTTCACACAAAATAGGATTTTCTTTTTTGTCAGACAGTGGAAAACTTACAGCAACGGCCTCTTTCACGTTATCCAGATTTTTAGTCAAGTTCTCAACAGCAGTAGCCATACCACGCTTTGTCACATACATAATATCTGAGAGTTTTAGACCCTAACCATTTGCCAAGAGAAAAATATTAGTTTACTCAAAGAAAAAAAATAACTCAAGGAATTGATTGAGGAAATAATATAAGCATATCATATCATCGGCATACCTTCCACCACATGTAACCATAACCCACTGCTCCCAAGGTAGCTGCTGGCATTATTAGAGATGTCATATTACCTGAAAAAAGAACAAGAATTTTAAACAAAAGAAAAAAAAGAACCACTTCGAAATTGTTTGTTTCGTATCATGAACTGCATAATGCATAAACGAATAGTAACTTTAACCCAAAATAATGGGCATGGTCATGCATTAATTAAGTGTTTATACACAAAAGGAAGAAAACACAAAGCAACTTAAAAATTTATTAGAAACACCAAAGAGAAATGTGAGATACCAATTTGGCCACCGTTCCCATTCACAAAAACCGTGCTGCCGCCCCGCGACGAGCCAATTTGCCTGATCTCAGCTGTTAGTCGGCTAATCTAAAAGATAATCAAACAGGAAACTTCATACACCCATACGAACAAATTCGACACAACAAAACATCATTCCATACTAACTTACACCAATTTCCACAATACCTGTGCTGTCAGGGAATCATAGTCACCTTCTGTGTGTTCCCCGGATCCATTCAACAAAGACTGCCACGAAACCATAAATGCAAAAATCCATCAAATTTTCTCAGCAACCAAACACCAACATATATATATTGCTTTAAGGCACCGCTAATTAAGCAGAAAACAAAATTGGCAAAAAACAGTACCTGAAGTTCACCGAGCAAGTCGGATAATTTACCGTTCTTAAGAAGGATGGTGCTTGTATACCCTGCACAGAGAACAAACAATCACTCAGATCGAATACAGCTAACTCCGCAACCAAACAGACCGAGTAAGAAAAACACAGAATACGAGCGCGGGATCAGTACCTGCCCCTGCTAAGATCAAGATCTTGGAAAACCCTATTCCGGTCTGCATAGCCATGGTGGAGTTCGTGTTCGATCAGAAACTGCAGGAAGAACGTGCGGAGAGTGTATGGATTTTTGGCGTTGCGGAAAACGGGGGCACGGGTATGGTGAGTTGAAGACGACGACCTTTTCTAAGTGCTAGCGGAAGCTCCACGTTCGCGTTAAACGACGCCGTACTTGTAGATGAGACAACCAACTTTGACCTTTTAACTGGTGTCACGAGTCGTTTCGGTTTGGGTAATGTTTTATGGACACGATAAGTGAGATGGGCCTCCTGAGGCCATCTCTAACTGAAGCTGATCAGATTATTCGTTTTACTCATTAGAAATTAATATTTTAATAATCAATCCAGGATTATATTCCTTACGATCTTCAATCGAGGGTCAAATGACTATAAGGCTCGTTTTAATCTTGTCACAAAAAATCGTTTCCAACCAAAGGCCAAAGAGCTATAGTATGGAATGTGAAGAATTTAAATAAAATAAGGTAGGATATTATGAAATTGTGAAAAATATGTGAGAAATTAAGTAGGAAAAAATTAGAAATTAAAAAAAAAAAAAAAAGTGGGCTGGGCATAAAAAACAAAAAATGGGCTGGGACAAAAAAAAAAACCTAAGCCCTAAACCCTAAAGTGGGCTGGGCAAATGGAAAAAAAAAAAAAAAAAAAAAAAAAAAAGGGCTAGCCAGTGGGCTGGCTGGCAGGTTGAAAATGGCCAGCCGATTGGCCTTTTGACCCTTTTTTGTTTAGTGGGGCCTACAAGCCCTTTGGCCTGGTTCTTGGTTGGAGACGGTTTTCGGGCTATTCTCGACCTTCTAGACCCTTCGATTGGAGATGGTCTTACTTGGCCCAAATTGCGAGTTTGATTTTTTCTCCTTTTAATTTCTCTTTCTTTTTATTTTTAGAAGTGTGTAAGAAGGAGAGGGAAGGGAAGAAAATCATATTCTCCCAATTTGTTTTTTCAAAAGCATTTGGCATTAGGTTGGTCCCACCGAGGTAATCCCAAGCTTAAATAATTTTAAACTACTCTATTTTACAATAGACGGTAGTTTAAACTAATCTAGCTCAATTTGTTTATTCAAAAGCTTTTGGTATTAGGTTGGTCCCACCGAAGTAATCTCAAGCTTAAATTTTTTTTTTTTTATAAATGATATTATCAGGAGAGGAGGTGGGCTTAGCTTTACAATGAGCCAACAATAATATGGTTTAAATTCGTCTTTAGCGAGAACTGAACCTAAAATCTCTTACTTATAAGTGAAGAGAAATATCATTAAATCGTAGTTAAGTTGTCAATTTGAGATATTATCAACCGGCAACCAGCCCACTAGCTAATGATAAGCAGCCAGCCCAAATCCGGCCTGCCATCGTTTCAAAGCATATCCGGGTAGAGAGAGACAGACAGACAGACAAAGAGAAGAGGGAAGAGAGGGAGGAGTGAGAGTGTTCAGGATGCTGAAACTACACTCGCTATCTTCCCCTGCGATTGCACAGAAGCCTAACCAAAACCCTAGCCAGTTCCTCTCTTCGCAGCTCTTGAGCAGAGCTAGGGTTTTCAGCACCAACACCTTCGGCTTTGCTCCGAGTCCGATCTCGTCGAGGAAGAGACTCTCCTTGAAATGTCGCCAGTCGGAGTACTTCGACCAGCAGAGAACCAGCACCGCCGCTTCCCCGAACAAACCTTCTCCCGCTCCGCCAACTCCCGCCGGAGGTACTTTCTCTGTCCTCGGACTATTTTACCCTTTTGCTGCTGTAGAAAAATGGTTCGGAATGGATAGAGTTAGGAACTTTTTAGTTACTCGTTCTGAACAGATAAAGACTAAGAAAGTTTGAAACTTTTGCACTTGAGTGAGTGTTTTGTAGCTGTTTGGCTAGATTAGGAGCTTCAATTAGTGTGAAGGACAAGGTTGAATTTGAACATTTTGAAGTTAGGGCCTGTTTGCGGCTTGTAGAAGCACTGAAAGTGCTTTTTGATAACTAAAAGGGCTTCTAGATTGTAAAAATGTTTTCTGGAGAAGCACATGCTATGTGCGAGGAAGCACTTGAATTTTTAATAAAAATCTGTACCTGTTTATAATAAAAGCACTTATTCTCCTATGAGCAGAAGTGCTTGTTAGAGCAGTCCCGAACGGAACTTATTTTCTGTGCAACCAAACAGGGGTATTGACTGGTTGAAGCTTACATATTGATGAACCAGTTTAATGATAGCTAGGCAGAATTTCTTTGTTTATAGTGTGATTAATAAATGTATTTATTTGGTTTGTGTGTGTAGCAACTGGGATGGCGCCTAGGTTTTACGTGGGTCACTCGATATACAAGGGAAAGGCCGCTCTTACCGTAGAGCCCAAAGCTCCAGAGTTCACCCCTTTAGATGTATGATTGATTTGATTGATGCTTTATTTTGTACTTTGTAAGAATATGGTTCTTTGGCCATATCATGACTCCTCAACAGTTAATACAAAACTGTGTTTATGTTATGGAGGGTCTAATTGATTGTTCTTTGATGGTTTGGTGTCTTGGACAGTCAGGGGCATTCAAACTTTCCCGGGAAGGTTTTGTGCTACTTCAGTTTGCTCCAGCAGCTGGTGTTCGTGTATATGATTGGAGCCGAAAGCAGGTGATCCATGCTGCTTTTGTTACACTGAATAATGGATTTTGAAGAATTATAAGAAAACTGAAAACAATGTCAATGGTCAATTACTTACTTTGAATAACCTCTTTTTTCTAATTGTCGGATCCTGCAACTTTGATTGTTGGCTAGTCGTTACATAATACTTCCATTAAAAACATTGAGGTGTATGGTTACCACATGCCAGGCCACCATTAATAAGACCTATTGCTTATTGTATGTGGTCACTACTTACTATAATTGTGAGGATCGTTAATATATGCAAAGAGACAATTGGTTTGTGTAGGTATTCTCGCTATCAGTGACAGAAATTGGAAGCCTGGTTAGCCTTGGCTCGAAGGAGTCCCTTGAATTTTTCCATGATCCTTTTAAGGGGAAAAGGTAACTCCTTCACTCTCTCCCTTTCTTTGTGGTATCATGGATTTCTGTAACAGTAATGATGTTGCCTGTGTTGGATTATTTGTGTATGGATCTCCTAATCAGCATGTAGTTGAATCTGAGTGACTGCAATAATCGGGGTTGTCATGTGTTGCGTTCAATACACGTCTTCATTTTCTCTTTGAAATTATTAACTTATCCAGACAAGCGGTTAGGGACAAGTATTTGTTCATTGTGACTGCAATAAGTTTGATATTGTATCCCTCATGATATGAACATCTGATGTCCAGAAGTACACATGATTATACTTCCGTGCATCTCCTACTTGTTGATGTTTTGTAATGTAAGTGAAATATGTACTAAATTGTTTTGTTTGCAGTGATGAGGGCAAGGTCAGGAAGGTGTTGAAGGTGGAGCCTCTTCCAGACGGATCTGGCCATTTCTTTAACCTGAGTAATCATCTTTTCCTTGAAATCTTGGTGGCGAACTTTACATTTATCTTCACCTTATTATACCATAATATGTGATTTGATGCTGCAATTTCTTAATTTTCAGTCAACATTTTGAGTATAGTCAATTGTTCGTACATCAATGCTTTAGGCAAACCTTTCTCGTTTATTCATCAACCTATAGACTTTGCAGTCTTAAAGTTTATAACTAAACACTATTATGCTGCATGGTTAAGCAATGGATAAGCAATACATGGATGAATTTTAGTGTTCGCGTTTTGAAGGCGAGTCTGCTTGCAACGTATAGTTTCTGTTAACTCAGTACAATATTATTGTATGCAAGCCATCTGCTATACTTATTGGAGGGGCTCAGTTTTTTAACATTTAAATGTTGCTCTTATCATTATGTCATAATCAAGGTGTTCAAAACAAGCTTATCAACTTGGACGAGAGCATTTATATTCCTATCACCAGAGCGGAATTTGCTGTTCTCAAATCAGCTTTCAATGTACGATCTCTCTATCTCTTTCCTCCTCCTCCTTTCTCTCTACATGCTCGTCCACCCACCCAATTATCCATGTATAAAAAATACCTACATAAGACCACATACACGTGCCGAATCCTTACTGGTTAGGACTCATGTATTCTGTTCTTTGCAGTTTATCTTGCCGTACATTTTAGGTTGGCATGCCTATGCAAACTCCATAAAACCAGAAGATTCGAGCCGTGCCAATAACTCTGGTCTTAAATATGGGGGAGATTTTGAATGGAGCCGGTAGTAGGACACTAAGAGAACTCTTTTAAGTGCAAATGATGTTGGTTTGATCTTGATCGTTTGTTGTGTATGTCCTGTTATTATGCAAGTCTCAAAATTTTGGGTACGACATTAATGTAAAATTTAGTGCAGATTGAAGAATGAAGTAGCTGACCACATTCTTTTCTCCCATTCCGTAGTGATATTGTTTATACTCCATCTAAATTAGATACAGCTCTGCACTGCAACTTATTTGTCACCTTGTATGTTTGGTTTTCAGATGCATGGGTTTATGGTGGGACGGTGAAGGTGGTGGGTGGCGAGGGTTTAAGGAGGAGAGGGGGTTGTAGACTTGCATTTTTACTAAGTATTGGTTTCAAAAACATTTTTATCAAAAGCTGGCGAGGGTTTAAGGAGGAGAGGTGGTTGCAGACTTGCATTTTTACTAAGTATTGGTTTTAAAAACATTTTTATCAAAAACGGTTTCAATTATTCTAAAAGTAATTCTAAATGAGTCATAAGTTGCTTATGTGGAAAGATGGTCCAAAATTTGAATATGAAAATTCAATTTTTTAGTTTTATCTTAAATACGTCAATGTTTTTGGAAGTATATCAAATTTTCTATAATATGTTGGATGCATATCAAATTTCTATACTATGATGGCGACGAGTCAACATTTCATCCTGTGGAAAATGATTCAAATGTTACAAATCATGTAGTAAGAAATGGAATAAACAATTAGCTGTATTCCTTTAAGCAAGAACTAATTGACTAACATATTGTTTTAAATCGCCCAGTCCACAAACGCCATGCAATTATGTGACATTTCATCAGACAAGAAAGACAAATTGTTGGTCACTCTTTATATTAATCCGATGGCTAACCTACTTTTTTAAATATTTTCTTTTTTTCTAAGATTAAAAAAGGAAACTTTTCAAAAATAATATAAAAGGAATTGCCAATTTTTCTTCGGAATTTGTAAAGAGCTATAATTTCTCCCATATTAACTTTAGCTGATTACTCCTCCGAACTTTTAAAATTGGCCCATTTCCCCTTTTTTTCCTTGAACCATAATTTTAACCAATTACTCATGTTTATAATTGGTCAGTTTCGAGTAATGAATTTGTTGAGATGAGTAATTACTTTGCTTATTTGAATTTGGATCTCGAATTGAATTAGGTTAACCGAGATGGTCGTGTGAATCAAGTCATAAGGAAGGCTAATGAAATGGCATCACAACCCTAACATGTTGCTAAAAAGGCAAAACCATGGAGAAGATTCATAGTTGTCCACATCAGGAATAAAATTTAAACAAATAGTGTACAGAGTGAACTAGCGAAAAAAAAAAAGACAAAACAATATGTTGTATACATTATAAATAAAATTACATTTTCGCCCTCAAACAATTATCATGCGTCGTGCACATGACCAAGATGGAAACAAAATTGGATGAAAAATACCAAAATCTAATGTCAGAGGGATATTTGTCAATTATAAAAAGTTCATAAGGTAAGTAGCTAAGTTAAAGTTTAGGGGGGAATTGGGCAATTACGAAAATTTAGAAGAGTAATTGGTTGAAATTAAAGTTCAAAAGGAAATTGATAGCTCTTTACAAATTCGGAGGAAAAATCGGCAAATACCTCTAAATATGATACACCTACTACTAGATTGAGCTAGTCACAAATGTATCAAAATCGCTATAAATATTATTTACGATTCATGTGACCCGAACTTGAAATATCCTCCAAATAACTACAAACAAGTATCAATGTCACACCACTACCTTAAAGACTAATATGTTGTTGTTTTAACTTTTATATAATTTGATTTATATACACGAGACGATTCAAACATATACTTGGACGTTGACTGGCATGACAATGGATGGACCAGTTTCATCATAGTACAAATTTTGGCATAAAGTAGAATTAAGGAAGTTTGCTAGATTAAGATTTATCTAATTAAGTATACACAATTAATTAAGTGAATGATCCATGGCATTAATTATGAAAATCTCCAATCCCATTGGTAATTTTCGAGAACTATCTTATTATATTGTGCTAGAGGTCTTAATTAATGATCATCAGCATCCATTGACCTAAGTTTATATAATAGCGACCACTTGATTTATTTGCTAATTAAAGATGAATTTCATTCCAAACGACATAAAAGTAATACACAGATGTAGTACAGACCAAAGAGAGAGAAAAGATGACAAGTATCAACTTCCAAAAAAACCTTTCAGTTTAATTAACCCCGTCTCTGTCTAAAAAAATGGAGAAAAAATTGTATAGGGCCTCAGCTTGCCCCTAAATTTAGCTAAATTACATTACAAGTCATTCAAAATTTGCCACGTGATAAGCTTGAGTGTAATTTTCGTACCATGTATTTATCTTTAAATCATTATAATTAAATTTTCACCTAATTGTTATACACCGTTAAGTTCATCTAATGACCCATGATTTTTCCTCTTTTCTTCCCGCTCTTTTTTACTTGTCAGATTTTCTTTTTTCCCCAACGAAATTTCTTGTTGTTCTTCCCAATAAATCTGCAGAAAAATATTAAGAAAAGAAAAACCAATCAATATTTGACTTGACCCAGTAATCGTTCCGTCCTTCCCAGCAACTCTCAAGTCGTAACATTGGATTGGGAATTGCAATGAAGTCTCTGTTGGTTTATGACACAGAGAACCCAGAAGTAAGCAATTTCAACTTCTCTTATATCCTATCTAACAAACTTTCAACCAAATGTTGCTCTCACACAGCTTTTTTCAAAAATGAAATCTGAGTTGGGACTTTTTTGTTTTCATTTCATGTGGCTTAAATTTTTTTTTTCCCCAGATTCTTATGAAGAAAGGAAAGACAAAGTGGGGTAGAAAACTGTAGACGGTAGAGACAATTAGGGAAGAAAAAAAATAGAGGGGGGAGAAAAATAAACCATTAGATGAACTGATGGTGTGTATAATTAGTAGAAAAATTAATTATGAGATTTATAAATATAAAAAAAAGATAAAATACTACGTTTAAAACTTACCACATGACGAGTTTTAATTGGATTGTAACGCCACTCAGCAAAATTTTGTGGCAAGCTGAGCCTCATACAAGTTTTTCTCCAAAAAATGGCATCAGCCACGGAGGAGTTTCTTCAATCCAAGCTATAAATATGTCACAACTTAATGCAAAATGAGCCAATCTACGACACTCCATTTGTTTCTCTTAACTGCCAACGACATGCAAAACTTCTAAATCTTTTAACCGAAAAGAGGGTTGAGACAGGGGGATCCTTTGTCTCCTTTTCTTTTTCTTATATGTGCCGAAGGCCTTTCAGCATATATTCGTAAAAAGGAAATGGAAAGGCTGATTAATGGCGTGAGGGTGGCACCGGGAGCTGCGGCAATTATACATTTGTTTTTCGCAGATGATTCAGTATTTTTTTGTAAAGCAAATATGATCGAAGTAGGGAATATGGTTAGAATTTTGGAGGATTATGGTACGGTATCGGGTCAAATTATTAATTTGGAGAAAAGTTCTACATTTTTTGGGAAGGGTTGTTTGAAGAAGAATAAAAAAAGGATTGTGTCAAGGATGCATATTCAGGCTCGGGATGGGTTTGGCAAGTATTTGGAAATTCAGGCTGATTTTGGGGCTTCAAAAAAGGCAGTGTTTGAATCCGTCCGTCGGGGTATTGAGAGTCGTATTGATGGGTGGGCAAAGCAATTCTTGTCTTCGGCGGGGAAGGACATTTTAATTAAATCGGTTGCATTGGTGATGCCGAACCATGCTATGGCGTGCTTTAAGTTGCCAGTCACAACGTGCAAAGAAATGGAGCGAGTCATTGCTCAATTTTGGTGGAGGAGTTAGTCCAAATCTAGGGTGTGTCATTGGGTAGCATGGAATAAATTGACTGCGAGTAAGAAGGTGGACGGTCTGGGCTTTCGAGATCTTATGGGGTTTAATCCAGCTATGCTTGCTAAAATTAGTTGGAGGGTGTTGCGGACGCCGGAGTCGCTGCTTAGTAGGGTCTTAAAAGATAAATATTTTCCTAACACATCTTTCCTGGAGGCAAGTGGGAAAAATAAGTCGTCTTGGGGGTGGAAAAGCATTGTGTGGGGGAGACAAATTTTGTCCAGAGGGCTACGGTGGAGGGTGGGGAATGGGGAGTTGATTAGGGTGGCGGATCCTTGGCTTCCTAAACCCCATTCGTTTAAACCTGTATTGAGGAAAGGGGCTTCAAATATTATGGTGTCTGAGTTGCTTACGGTGGACAAGAGGGAGTGGAGGATTGAGGAGGTTGCGGCATTGGTGTCTCCGGATGATTTGGCTTTGATTCAGGACTATACCGATTAGTAGGTTTGGGTGTGTGGATCAACGGATTTGGCATTACACAAAAAATGGTTTGTATTCAGTAAGGTTGGGGTACCATGTTGTGATGGATATGATAAAAAATGGGGAGCTTGGAAGGAAGGGCAATGGAATGTTGAGTAATCCGGATACATTGGGAGGGGTTTGGAGGAGGATTTGGTCTGTTATGGTGCCACATAAACTTCGGGTTTTTATTTGGAAGGCTTGCAGGAATGCACTAGCGGTTAGGTATAATCTTGGGCGGCGGCGGATTAGGGTGATCAATAAATGTGATTTTTGTGGAGCAAGTGATGAAACAGAGGCCCATCTTTTCTTTCATTGTGAATTCAACCGTGTTTTTTGGTTTGGGACGTCCCTACAACTTAATATGGCAAAATTGGGGGTTAATGATTTTCTTCAAGGATGGCAGCAGATTGTGCAGCAGACAGAGAAGGAGGTGGATGCCGAGGCATTGCTGCAACAGGTGGTGTTTGGGTTTTGGCGCATTTGGAAATGTCAGAATGAGGTCGTGTTTAAAGGGGTTCGAACTTTACCCTAAGTGGTTGTTGAGTTGTGGTAGCGGCATTTGGTAGAATTTAGGGATGCTATGGGTGATACGGTGGGAGAGGGAGGGGATGTTTTAAGGGTTAGGTTGTCTGGGGTGGGGAATGATTTAGGGGATAACCGGGGGGAGGAGTTGGGAATTGGGGAGGGCACAAGGGTTGGAGTCGGATTTCAGAAGGGGATAGAAGACAGGGCGGGGGAGGAATGCTGGCAGAAACCCAGTTTTGGCGCGTTGAAACTTAATGCGGCATGGATGAAACATTCGAATGAGGGAGGAGTTGGGTGGGTCATTCGGGATTTTGCGGGGATTCTGAAGCTAGCGGGAGGGGAAGGAGGGGGGTTCTTTGGGAATGCAATTATGGCCGAGGCTGAGGCAATCCGTAAGGGATTGGAGGCGGTGGTGGGTAGTGATGTGGGAACTAGTGCTAGGTTGGTGGTTGAGTCGGATTTTAAGGGCTTGATTCAGATGCTCAATAAAACGGTTGCGGTTGATGTGATTTTTGAGATTTATCTCCAAAATATTTGGAGACTGGCAAGCTAAAAAAAGAAAAAAAAATTTCAAAACTTTCCTATAGCTAAAAATAAAAAATCAAAGTTTCTTGAGATTCATTAGTAAGTGGCTCCTTAATCATGTTCCTGTGAACCAACGGTTGGCTTAAGCTGTCAACATGTACAACACCCTTGACCATATTTTTAGTTTTATATTTAATTACCGGTTATTAATTTTCATAATTAGATGGATTTTGTAATCATGTTTATCAGACAACTAAAACCAGATTTAACAAGATATTAATGCTTATACTGTGTAACAAGTTCGACTTAATTAAGCCGTCGTCGATAGCCTAATGAAACAAGTTCTTAAGTTTTAAGTTGATTTTCATCTGGTGGCAGCTGATATTAAAATATAATAACCTTGCTGGCTGCTGTCGTTTGCTTTTTACTTTTTTGGCAAATGAAAGCTGCAGTTTTGAACTATTCGTTTACTAATTAAATTACGATAATTAGTCCACTAAATTTGGCTTATCCAATCTCCAGTCTCTACACGGAATGAAACTCTTGATACCAAAAAAAAAAAAAAGACAGTTTCAGGCTCCCTCAATACTTAACCGGACTAAACTCGTCATCTTCTATTTTTTATTGTGGCCTCCGGCCCACTTCCTTTTGTCATATACATGTATAATAAGTAGCGTTGAAACGCTAGTCAATTTTAAATATACATATAAAGTTATGTTCAAGCGACTAAAAGATGTGTCAGAGATAAAAGGATGTGTGAAAAGCATCAACCTTAAGTTTATTCTTTCACCAACTCATAAACTTTATAGTGTTGTGTTATTCACACTCTTTTTAACTTTCTACACATTCCCTGTTAGTTTTGTTATTTAATTATCTTTAATTCATTTAACCTGACAATCGAAAATTAAGAAGGATGTATAAAAGGTAAAAAAATATGGATGGATAGTTTGTGCGGTGGCCATAGGCAAAGATCGATGTCTTTGTAAACGACCTATTCACAAAGTATTAATTTGATTGTTCATCATACACCGAGGACTTTACCATATAAGCAAATAAATTAATATTAAAAAAAAAAAAAACAAAACACAAAAATAAGGTGAAGCTCATTGTATTTATATATGCTCCAAAGCTATCGTTTTGTTTTTAAATGCCAATTGATACATTATATATACACTCTAAGTTGACAACTATGTCGACATCCGACAACTCTGGCTTTCGAAGGGTCAGAATTCTGTTTTATTTTAAAAAAGAGAAGTGTTATTAGCACTTCAAAAATCTAATTCTATACTATTCACAAGTATATTTTTCTTTCCTAATATAGAAAGTTTGGAGTGTAGAATGAAATTTTTGGAGTGCAGAATGAGATTTTTGAAGTGTTAATAACAATTCCCTTAAAAAAATTGTTACAGAAATATGTTTCATTTTTATAGAGGAAATTAATTATTTGATGCAACCCCAGTTATTTATGTTATGATGGTGGCACTTTGCAGATTGGATAATACCAAATTTGAAACTTTAAGAAGTGGTTTAGTGAAAAGCGAGAAAATATTTGTAATTTTTAATAATCTGAATTTGAATTCTCACGAGTGTATTTAGATCATCTTCAAATGAGATGTCAAATTATAAGAGTCAAATTACAAATGATAGCTGATGTGGCAATTTGAAGCCTTATGTCAAATTTTGTACTTCTCCAACCGAATTGTCAAATGTTATTTTATTATTTAAATGGAGTTTTAAATGGTTGTAATCATTTGGTTGAAATGTTAGTGGAATAAAGGACCCGCCATTAAAATGAATTAAAAATAAAATTGACATTGATGTCAAATTTGACTCCAAATCACAAAGCCTTAAAATCCAATCAGAAAATAACACTTCGGCTGGAGAGACTTTTGATGTCAAATATGCACAATGTCATTCCACCTAGGATTTTGACATCTCCTTTAAAGATGCTCTTATTGGGATCCGACTTAAGATTTACCTTCAAATTTTATATTGAGCTTCACCTTTCACTATTAAAAAACTTCAAAATTTATTAATCTATCTTCAAAACTATCTTATACAAAAAAATTGTCAATCTATGTTGTCCTTGTCACTAAATATTACAGCTTAGAGGCTCGGTCTAAATCTTCTCATGTTGTAGTGTTAATACATCGTTGTATAAAATAACACTATGAACAGCCCTCGGAATACTTATTATCTATATTGATTAAGTCATAAACACTACTACTATTTAGTGAAAATATTCTCTCCTATTTCATTCCAATAACAAAACCATTTTGCTTGGTTGACCTAGCTAAATACTGGTGCGTGCACACATGAAGCTAGCTAGACACATCAAACGAACCCGATAGTTCACCATAACTGACTGCCTTCTCATGTCAAATTTGACTAGCACACAAGAAACTATCACAAAAAAGTATTGTCCGCAACTTGATAGGTTTTTGAACATGATTATCACGTACACAATACATACCTGCATATAGTAAATTCTAACACAGTAGTTGACCACCCATATTTCTTTAAGTTGTGAACTGTGACATATTTGTTTAAAAATAAATAAACTTCCCCCCTGCAGGTTCTGAAAAACTTTCAAGAATAAAACAATAATGGTGTAAAAAAAATTAAAAATTACACTGAACTTGCACCGTAAATCTGAATGAGGACATGTGAGATTGAGAAAGGGCTACGAAGGAAGTCACTGGAATCAAGGGTTTGATGACGGCGGATGGGGTTTAAAGAGAAAAATATTACGCAGTCGTGTGACTTTTTTGCATACAATTGCAGGCAATTCTTCAACTTGACTTTTCTGCATACAATTGCAGGCAATTCTTCGACGTGACTTGTTCTCTGATTACTTACAAAATTTCTCCTCTCTCTCTCATCAACGTTGAAGTTGAAATTAGATTGTTAGCTAGCTAGCTACGTTTGTTTATACATATATAGTTAATCAATTATAAATAAGTACAATGGTTTAAAATTAAACTAGGAAAAAAATGGTTCAAACTTAAATTATCGACTTGCTTCTTGGGGGTTATTTGGCTGGTACCCGGCTCCTCCTTAAAAAAATGTGTTTGGGTTGTTGACATTAATAACATATATATATATGACAGACTTTGGATGCGGTCCCTAACTGTCCATGTTCTATGACTGAAACCTTATTGGTTTTCAGTTTTTGATCAAAATCTCTAACATTAATATAATAATGTATTTCTAGGTAGATTATTATATTTTTTAAATTAAAAAAAAATGATATTATTAATGAGATTTTAAATAAAACCTATAATTTGTGGAATTAAAAATATTAAATGATAAATTATGCTTTCCAATATATTGTATGTATGTATAAACTTGGGTATATTCATCCAAATTAACCAAAAAATTATTGTACCAAAACATGGGTACATTTTTCAAAAAAAAAAATATATATATATTTATATTAAGCTGGATACCATTATTAAATTTCTTCAATTAAACTTAACATGGATATATTCTCAAATCAACGAAATATAATGTACCAATGTAAGTTAAAAAAATAGATTAAAACAAATTGAATGAATTTGATATAAAAAAAGGGGTACATTTTATATTAAAATGATATATTTTACATATAATAAATTGATATATTTACGAATGGGTACATTTAAGATTTAAAAAATTACAAAAATTATAAGAATGGGTACAATTAATATTTAAAAATTAAAAGTCTTTTTATAAAAAAATTAATGGGTACAAACTTATTCATATTTTTTTTTAATTATAGAAATATTTTGAATTGAAAATTGATTAGGAGTTTAATAAGGGTGGGAGTATTAAAATTCTAAACCAACTACTCATTTTTATTTTGAAAATTATGTAACTTACATATAAATTCATTAACACATTAATACTAGGGACTTTGATCAAAATCTGAAAACTAGCTTGTAAGGTCTTAGTCAATGAACATAATTAGTAACTACTAATTTTTCCTACACACACACATGCATATGTATAATATATATTTTATTATAAATAAAATATATATTTTTGTGTATATAAAGATAAGCACTGGTAGGGTTATATATGGAATACAGACGCACAAAGTCAAAATCTGCAGGCTTTATATCTCTCCCTACGCATATACAAGAAGCCAAACTGCAGCCATGGTAATACCAACGAGGCCTTCAAAAGCATTAATGGAGAATGATAACACTCATGAGGAAAAGTCTTTTCTTGGCAAAACAGATGTCGAAGACAATACTGTGAAATCTGATGGTGATCATGAAGAGGGTACTCCCATGGAGACAACGAAGGTGAAATATTTCATTTAATTATGCACTTATACATATATTTATATTTCCTTGCCAATTGTATATGAAATTCGCTTAATTATCCTTTTCTTTTTTGGATTGTTCTTATTTTCGTCTCATATCTTATATTCAAATTGAAATTTAAGATGAGTTGGGCTATCATTTAAACTTGTTTTACAATAATCGACCAATACCAAAACTTAGTATTTGGTGAAATAATCATTACATTTTGAGTTAAGCGAGCTTATTAAATATATTCTAACTGGATTGATGATGAAGTTTGGTAGTTAATATGAGATTAAGATTATTGTACTGAAGGCCGCCGGAAGATTTATTAATTAATCTTCCAATATTTCACTGTTTATCGATGTGCATATATATGTCTATGACGTCTGTCTTCTAATGTTTCGACTCTTTTTAGTGTTCTCATATTCCACCATGATACCACGAAATAATTCTCGTAAAGTTTTATTGATCGTAATCTTCCTCAATCTCCATGAATATATCATAATTCAGGGAGGACATGGGTGGGATGTTGAACCCGACTTGAAGCCTCCTCCTACTGGAAAAGATAGAGCCCTTGTCAACCACAACCAGGTAAAACTAGAGAAATAAGGGGCAAAAAACCAAGGAAATTAAGCACATGTGGATTTGAGGTTTATTGTTTTTAAGTTTGAGAGTATTTGGGTGTTATCAAGTGTAGTTTTGGTTATGTATGAAATTTTCTATAAAAGTCAACATTTATGAAATTGAATGCTAAATTTTGGCCACATTTATACTATAAAATCCATAAGCAAAGGGTGAAAAACCAAGGAAATTAAGCACATGTGGATATTTTTAGAGTTACAGTAATTTCTTCTTTTTAATGGTAAAAAGAAAACATCAATTTACCTTAATATGTTCTTTAGGTATATATGTTAAGCTGATCTTAATTTTAATTTCTATTTTATTATGAAATATAACTGATCTTACGTATTTATGGGTGTGGCTTCAATATTATATAACACTTGGATATTTTAGCTATAATATTAATTTTTATTGAACCACTCAATACTATGCATAATTAAAGAAAAGTTATTTAGTTAAATGTATATGTAAAAAAAAAAAAAAAAAAAAAAGTGGTGCCATGAATCTGCCATGGATATTTGATGATATCTCAATCATCTATGTCATGTGATAGATTTGACTTATCATAAGAACCTATGGCTTAAGTAAGATCAACATGAATCAACCACATGTGAGGATATGAAGGTAAAAGAGTCTCACATTGGTGAAAGAAGAAATTTTGGAAGGTTTATATATAAGAGGTTGTGCTACTTCCCATATTGGAGAATAGAACCTTCTTCATTGTATTAGAGTAGGTTGACCACCTTTGCAGTCCAAAGGCCACACATACTCCACGTTATCCAATTTGTGTAATTCACGTGCTAGACTTGAAAATTAGTCACACGTGTTCACCACACATGACCCATCCAGTCATTCCATCTGATATTGGATCATGTATCTTAATACAGTCAATGAATTGGTGTGGTCTAATATTATTTTTAAGGGTAACTTTAGATGCGGTCCCTATTTATCAACGTTATTTGACTGAAACCTTTTTGGTTTTCAGTTTTTTATTGAAGTCCCTGAAATTAATGCAATAATGCATTTCTATGTAGGTTATTATAATTTTAAATTAAAATTTGATATTTGTAGTTACTTATATTAATGAGATTTAAATAAAATTAAGATTTGTGGGATTAAAAATATTAAAAAATAAATTATACTTATATAAAAATGTATAATTTATCTTGATGACATGATTTGTCATTAAGATAAATTATATTAAATAAAACACATGATTTGTCATTACTTATATTATTGACATTTTACATACAAGAAATTAGTAATTTTTATACTGTACATTTTACATACAAAAAGTTGGTACTTTTTATACAAAAAAGGTGGTATGTTATATATATATATATATATATATATAAAAAGGGTACATTTTGTATAAAAAAAAAATGGTACATTATATGTATATATATAACAATTGGTACATTTTAGATTAAAAAAATAAATAGGTCTTACACTAGAAAACGGGTACATTTTACAAAAAACAAGGGTACTTACAAAAATAATTTTGGTACATTTTACATATAACAAAGTGATACAGTTTTAAAGACAAATGGATACATTATTAGTAAATTATTGGTGCAAATAAAAGGTTAAAAAAATGAGTACAAATAAAAGTTTGAAAAATATGTACACAAAAATATATTAGTATATGTATACAAACTAAAACTAAAAAGAAAATTGATACAATTTAAAAAAAGGGTTGCAAATTAAAATGGGTACAAAGTAAAGATAAAAATATATGATACAGAATTAAGCATAAATATATATACTAAATATAATGTTTCTAACATTAAATGAATATATTTAGAAATAAAATTTAATTATCTTGACATGTAAAATATTTTATCGTTGAAATAATTAATGACGTTTATTAAAATTGAGGGACCTTGATGAAAAATTAAAAATAAATAAGATTTCAATTAATAGAGTTGAAAAAAGAAGGATGACAACTTAATTTTTCCTATTTTTAATTCACAAAGATTCCATCTGATATCGATGTACTTTAACATGTGCATGATATTAATACAATCTAATCTCTGCTTTTTGAACTCTATCCCCACAAAAATTTAGCAAGTCCTATTTAACATAATATAACCGCTAAATGTAAATCATAATTAGTTAGTTTTCATTTTAATATTTTTTTTCACTTATAAGTGAGGTGTGTTAAGTTCGAATTTTGATAAATATACCGTTGTATAAATATATTCCATTTGTGTTGCCCTAGCAGGATCATGAGCTGCAATCAACAAAAGCAGAAATGGTAGAGGTTAGGGAAGAAAACGAAAAGCTAAAGCTGTTATTATCCCAAATGTCGAGGGATTACCAGTCTCTCCAGATGCATCTTTATGGCCTTCTTCAAAATGAAGAAGAAACTAAGAAATGTACCGATGCTAGTAGTAGCAGTACTGCTCGTGATTTTACGCATGAGCAAAATATTGAAGAAGATGATGATCTAGTATCTCTTAGCCTTGGGAGAACCTCAAGTAGTATTGATCAGCCAAGAAAGGATGGTCGGATCAAAAATATTAGCCAATTGAGTTCTACTAATGGAAAAGATGACGATGATGATGATAAAATGCTGCATGGAGCTGGACTTGCACTGGAGTTGGGCTGCAGATCTGAACCAGCCGCTGATCAGTCAACTGATAATAGCTCTGGAGGCCCGAAGGAAGACGACCTGACTGAGATATGGCCGCCTAGTAAGACGTTGAAGACGACGAGAAGTGGAGAGGATGAGGTTTCACAGCAAACCCATTTAAAGAAAGCTAGGGTTTCTGTCAGAGCTAGATGCGATGCTCCCACGGTTAGTATATCAAAACTTAACCTTTCAACCAAATGTTGCATGCATTTCATAAATTAACCTAGCTTGTATACATTGAAAGTTACTGCCAGCAAAGTGTTTAATTAAACGTTTGGTAAATAGGTATTAGGTGTTGTTAGACATAAGGTAACCTCGTTGCTCAACAAATACGCAGACTTAGGCGACATGCATATTTAAAAATTAACCTGACGAATGATATAGATTCATGGTCTAACAATATAAGAATATTATGCGACTGTCATTTTATATAAATGATTCTTCCGCATATTTTATTCTTGTCCTTAAGGTTATGGATCAATATCTTACATATATATATATATATTATCATATAGATGAATGATGGATGTCAATGGAGAAAATATGGACAGAAGACAGCAAAAGGAAATCCATGCCCTAGAGCGTACTACCGTTGCACAGTATCACCGTCTTGCCCTGTGAGAAAACAGGTATATATTTCTGCTTAATTCGTTAAATTCTGCTTGCACCATTACGCTTTACTTTCTTAGTTAAGCTTGTTCAATTTTTTCAGGTGCAAAGAAGTTCCGAGGACATGTCCATACTAATCACAACCTACGAAGGAAGCCACAACCACCCACTTTCAATGTCAGCCACAGCTATGGCATCGACCACCTCCGCCGCCGCTTCCATGCTTCAGTCTCACTCATCCACCTCTCAACAAGGCCTCTTCAACTCCGCCACCGCGCCCATCTCCGCCTCCACTAATCTCCAAGGACTAAACTTAAGTAGTACTAGTACTCTCTCTCAAAATTCAAGGCTACCACAGCAACATTTCTACTTCCCCAACAGTTCAGTCTCAACCAACAATTTCCACCCAACTATCACTCTTGATCTCACCGACCCAACTCCCTCTCATTTCGGAAGATTCCCCTTGGCCTCGGGCAGCAGCTTTTCTTCCAACCCAAGATATCCTTCAACATCTCTCAACTTTTCGTCTTCTTTAGACCACAATAACACATTGCAGTTGCAATCTCCTTGGAACAGCATCAGTCACACAGCCTCTGGATATTTCAATTATGGGAATAGAATTAACCAAGTTGGATCAGCCCTAAACATCGTAAAGCAACCAATCTTTCAAGAACATAATAAATTGTACCAATCCTACATACAAAATCAAAACGCCTTTCCTCCTCCTCCTCCCCTTAATCATCCTCGGATGCGAACCGACTCAATAGCCACCGCCACAAAGGCAATCACATCAAACCCGAACTTTCAATCGGCTTTGGCAGCTGCACTTACATCATTTATTGGCAATGCGGGTACTAGCAGCACTACTGGGATCAGAGAAAACCATCAAAGTGGGACTATTGTAGAAAGGTCTCCTGGGCTGAAATTGAAGCGGGGTGAGTCGTTGACGTCGAATTCAATATCCCATCAAGCCAAAATGGAATAGGGTGTGCATCAAGCTACTTGAACAAATCTTTGTGACTTTTTATTCATTATTTTTCTTTGGTTAGTTACTAGGCATGGCGTAATGTAAATTGCATAAGGTGTTATATACACAATGTAAGAACTAATACAAATGGTAAAATTTTAGGGAACTATTTGTTGACACTCGAAAAATGTTAGCCATATATTCCATTTTGTATTCATAAAATGGACGCAAGACAACATTTTCGAAGTGTCAGTAACGATTTTCAAACTTTATACGATTATAGAATTCACATCATGATTTGATAGCTTAATTTCATGCCATTTTTCTTTTATGTCTTCACATCATGATTTCGGGAATTAGAAGCCCAACATGTATTCAGTGCCTACACTTGGCAAAGCTCGCTTCATGCATGCAGAGGCATCACTTGCTGATGGAGATCCAAGCAGATGCATCGATTGCTGATGCAGTACAGGCTCTGTCTAACCACCACATTTTGTCAGCTCCCGTGAGAAGCCCGGAAGCAGATACAAGTGCAGATTGGAGGGGGAGGTAACTGGGAATTGTAGAATACTCCGCGGTTCTTCTTTGCAGCTGGGCAGGTTATTAGCACCAACGGTGATGATCAAGTACTGAAAGCGTCAGATTCTGATTTTAACCGTTAGATTTTTTTAGTGGTCCAGAGCATCGGATATTCAAGATGTTTTAACCTTTAAATTTTGATTTTTAAACTTTTAAACAAAACGGTTGAAATACTTTGGAGCATCCAGGAAAGTCTTTTTTGTGTATCCAAGGCCAAGCCCAACTGAAGGCTTACCAACTTGTGCCATGAAAAGTGGCGAGTTAGAAATGCAACGGAGAAATTATTACGTAGTACTGTACTACCACATCATCTGTGGTACTTCCACTTAAAATTTGACATGTGTATTATTTTATCACAGCTGGACTTTTAATTTATTTTAGAAAAGTTCTCAATGCAACGCAATTCAGGTGATGACACGTGTCAAATATATAGTTCATGCATGCAGGGGTTACTTTTTATGGGAAGAGAAAATCCTCAAAGTTTGCAAAGAACAGAGCCCGACAGCAGTTTGTGAATCCATTGGAAGCACATACTTGGAGGTATCCCAATATCAGCCTCTTTAATCTTGTTTTTTGCTAACAATCTACGTTGTTCTCTGTCAATATATTATTAGTATTTGCAAATCCATACGATGCAATACAACTCTGCAATCGTTTCTTGAATATGTTTCTTTAGCCATTTATTTAGATTAATTATGTCAATTGACATAATCTACGTACAAATTAATAGGATCGCAACCCAGATGGGAGACAAATCTTGTACAAAACAAATTAATCCTGGTTAATTTCGAACTAGATTAACAGAATCCTAGTACTTTGAATCTAAGACTTCATGTGAAGACATCGAATTAAGATTTCGATTTCTGTCTCCAGCGTAAATATGGCAGAAGCACAGGAGGTGAAAGAAAGATGTAAACTTTCAAGCTACGATGCCTACTTCGACAACATCCAATCCAGGAAGAAATTACCTCGTGCCCTGCAGGAGGTTTTAACAAATGCATTTGCGAAAATTCATGTTTCATCTTTCCCGGCTGTACCTGGAGGCGAAGGTGACGGACATTACTGTTTAATCAACGATTTCGGTATTTATGGTTTTGATATGAATTGAATGAGGTAAATGGTTTGCTAGAAACAGTGCCTTCTTACATTATTATTTGCAGTAATTGAGATTCCGGCAGACACGTTCGTCGGTGACGCGGTTAAGATTCTGTCTGAAAACAACATTTTGTCAGCTCCTGTGAAAACCCCAGAAGCAGATGCAAGTTCTGATTGGAGAGACAGGTACCTAGGACTCATAGATTACTCTGCCATTATTCTTTGGGTGTTGGAGAGTGCAGAGCTAGCTGCAGTTGCTATATCTGCAACTTCAGCAACCGCTGCTGGAGTCGGTGCAGGTGCGGTGCGGTGGGGGCCGTTGGGGCTCTAGCATTGGGTGTGACCGGTCCTGCTGCAGTTGCAGGGCTAACTGCTGCTGCTGTTGGAGCTGCCATGGCTGGTGGCGCGGCTGCAGAGGAAGGAATAGCCAAAGATGCTCCCACAGCTGCTGATGAATTAGGCCAAGATTTTTACAACGTTATACTGAAAGATGAACCCTTCAAGTCAACCACAGTAAGCAATCTCTACGAAGATCCTGTGTAGTAGTATTGGTTGCCTTTGAGTTATCTGACTGAATTAACCGAACGTGATATGTACGTGTAGGTTTCAGGTGAGGTCAATACTTAAAGTTAAATCCTTCTGCTGGGCGCCTTTCATTCCAGTTGCAACCGATAGTTCAATGTTGACCGTTATGCTACTACTTTCAAAATATAGGCTGAGGAATGTACCTGTAATAGAACCAGGCCAACCCATCATTAAGAACTACATTACTCAGTCAGGACTTGTTCAGGGTCTTGAGAGATGCAGAGGAAGGGACTGGTTTGACTGCATTGCGGCAAAGCCTATCTCCGATTTTGGACTTCCTTTCATGTCCTCTGATGAGGTAAGGTTGCCTGGTTACCAAAACAATATTCTTAATGGCTGGTGATTTTGGAGTCTCAATATCATTGTTCCTTTGTTTCTTGGCCAGGTTATTAGCATCACGAGCAATGATCTAATACTCAAACCTTTCAAGAGGATGAGAGATAACAAAATTGGTGGTCTTCCTGTTGTAAAGGGGCCCAAGAAAAACATAGCCGGTAATGTAAGCATCAGAGATATTAGATACTTGCTACTCAAACCCGAGCTTTTCTCCAATTTCAGGTATTTGAAGATAAACTTTGAACCTTTTACCTCGCACAATCTCTGTAGAAATTACATTGTGCTCTTGGTCCTCATGATGGACTGTAGAGTGCTTTAATCTTCTCAACTCCAGGGTTGAACATTCACCATTGGATACTCCACCATTTACTTCACAATGATTGTAGGAAGGATCTAAAATACCTTCTTATGAAACTGAACTCATCCAGTTGTGAATTTGAACTAATCTTCTTACACTGATTTCTGTCAAAGAAAAAGACCAGTGCTTGCTTTGATCACTTGACAGACGCAAATCATTCTTGATGAGGCACTTAATTTGTGAGACATTTTCTTTCAGGAAGCTCACTGTTAGGGACTTCATGAGCACCATCACAACGACCAGCGAAATTGGAAAAGTCATGCAACCAATTACATGCAAACTGGAGTCAACTCTTGGTAATCTGATTGAAAGTTTTGCTTCCATGTCCGTTCATAGGATCCATGTAGTAGCTGGGGAGGAAGGCGAGGTTGTTGGTGTCGTTACACTCAGAGATATGATCTCTTGCTTCATTTATGAACCACCAAACCACTTTGATAACTACATGGGATTTGCGGTGAAGGAGATGTTGAATCAGTGAGATGTCTGTTTGAGGAAACTTAAATGGAGATGCAGGGATAGTCTCAAAATTTTGGTTTGGGACTCAAAAACTGTAGACATTTGAATTGCGGTTGTTTGTTTCGTGCATGTACTTTTCCTGCAGTCTTAGTAAACTAAAGCCAGGGAGCTTTCTTCGTGTTTTATCAGTCATCAATCCTCTAATCTTTTCTGCATCCTCCCACCTTCCAAGTGCAGCATAAATCTTCGAAAGGATCACGAAAGGTGCCGGGTTCACTGGCTCTAGTTCTGAAAGTTTTAAAGCCACTTCTTTCCCCAGTTCTGAATCCAAATGGCATTCACAGGCACCTAGCAAAGAAGCGAAAACTGCTCCGGAAGGCTCTGGTAATTCTTCTATTAGTTCTCGGGCTTCATCCAACCTGCCAGTTCGACCCAAAAGATCAACCATGCAACCAAAATGCTCTTGATTTGGTTTGAGACCAAAATCTTTGTTCATCATCCTAAAAACTTGCCATCCCTTGTCCACCAAACCAGTGTGACTGCACATAGATAGAAGACTTGTGAAAGTTGCAGCATTTGGTAGTACTTTTTCTTCCAACATCTGTTCAAAGATTCCGAATGCAGATTCACTCTCTCCGTTTCTTCCATGCCCCAATATGATTGCGTTCCAAAATGCTGGATCGTCGGGTTTTACTCGAAACCCATCAAAAATTCTTCTTGCGCAAGTAGACTGCCCACATTTCATGTACATGTCAATAAGAGCAGTTGAAATGAACAGATCATTGCTAATAGAGGTCCTAACTGCGTGCCCATGAACTTCTTTTCCACACTGCAGAGCAGATAAATCTGCACACGCTGGTAGAAGACTTGTGATAGATTTTAAACTGGGGACGGCACCAGCTGATTGCATTGTCTTAAAATACTTGAAAGCTTCAATCCCCTTTCCTAGTTGCGAAAACCCACTGATCATTGAATTCCAAGTAACGGAATCGGGTTCAAACCCTTCAAATTCTAGCTGTTGAAATAGCTCAACGGCATTCTCAGTTTGCGCATTCAACATCATTCCAGCGATCAGGGCATTCCATGTAAACAAGTTCCTATTTTCATCTAGTTCTTTGAAAATAACATAAGCCAGCTGCCAACAACCACACTTGGAATACATGTCCACAAGTGCTGTTCCAATCATAACATCAAGTCCTATCTCAAATTTGACGACCAAACCGTGAACCTGCTTGCCAAATCGGAGATACGAAAGACTAGCACAGGCAGAAACAACTGAAATCAACGTAAGTGAATTGGGATTTTCACCTGTACATGCTCTCATTTGCTTAAACACATCCAACACCACATGAGGAACCCCATTCTGCAAAAGCCCTGAAACAAAAGCATTATAGCTCACAACATTCTTGATTGCCATTTCCTTAAACACCTTCTCAGCCAAAACCAACTTTCCGCAGTTCGAATACATAGTCAGAACCGACGTCCCAACATAAACATCGCTGTCAACGCCCAGCTTCACTGCCAAGCAATGCATTTCCATGCCGTGTTCTGCACTCCCGCACGCCGATATCATACTAGCTATCGTAACTGAATTGGGCTTGAACCCTCCAACCTCCACGTTCTTAAACAACCGCAGAGCCTCTCTACAGTACCCATTTCGCAAAAACCCGGTAATCACCGCGTTCAACGAAGCCAAGTTCCGTTCAGGCATTTCCTCAAACACCTTGAGTGCGTATTGCATAAAACTAAGTTTCATATACGCATCGGTCAGAGCAGTGGCGGAGTAAACATCGGCCGAAAACCCGGTTTTGACGAGATGGGCATGTAGAATTTGTGCCTGCAGAGCTGATCGGAGTTTTCCGCAGGCTTTGAAAAGAGGCGGGAACGTGAATTCGTGAGGACGCAGAGAAGCAGAGTGGCGCTGCGCGTGTAAGCAGAGGGCTTCTCTGTACGACCCACTCGCGACTAGCTTAGTAATTTCGTGCCTCATTGGTTGGATTCGAAAATGGGCGGCGCCGCTAGATTCACCTGCCTTTGTTTTTATTTTGGGAAATTGGGCTGAGAAATGGGCTTTAAAGTTTCCCTCGGCCCATTTTGGGAAAAATGATATTCGCTGGATCTTTTTCTTATATATCCTAGGCATCTTATGATCGTGATTGTTCATCGTACATCGTGCGATCAGAAATTATTTTAAAATTTAAAATTAACTATAAATAGTACTTAACGAAAACTGATCACATGATATACGATGAATGATCACGATCCCAGAAAAGAATCCCATAAGGATCCTTTTCCCCATTTTGGATATCAAGATATTTTGGGTCGGCGGACAAGCATAGCACGTGGGGACAGAGAATCAAAGATTTGATGTCCAATTGGTACGTACACATTGGGCATATTCTATACAGAAGGCCAGAGCCCCACTTTTGGGTCACCGGCTTTGATAAAAAACAATAAGATAAAATTGCCTCTCAACCAAAAAAATTTAAAAGAAGCTCAATATAATATATCAAATAATGCATGGGTAGTTTGGTAATTTGGTTATTATAAAATATAATATAAAAATAAGTGGGAAGAGAGAAAAAAATATAAAAAATGGAAGGAGAGGTGAAAGTTGATAGTGCCCATGTGAAAGGGAAAGAAAAATATAATAAAAAATAAGAAAAATCGTGACTATTGTGTTTAAAACATTTTAAGAGGCATGTAATGCTGGTTATAAAAAAGGTCTTTCGGACGCGAATAATAATGTGATTAAATAAGTTGTCAAATGATTGTTTTTTTTTTTTTTTTTTTACAAACGATATTATTTATACTAATTGCTCCTCAACCAAAAAAATTGAAAAAGAGCCCAATATAATATATCAAATAATGCATAGGTAATTTGGTTATTATAAAATATAATATAAATATAAGTGGGAGGAAAGAAAAAAAATTAAAAAAATGGAATGATGAGTGAAAGTTGATATTGCCCACGGGGAAAGAAAAATATAATAAAAAAGTGGAAGTGTTATTAGCACTCCAAAAAATTCGGTCTACACTCCTCACAAGTGTATTTTTCTTTCTTAATATAAAAAGTTTGGAGTGTAAAATGAGATTTTTGGAGTGCTAATAACAATTCCCTAAAAAAATAAGAAAAATCATGAATGTTGTGTTTAAAACATTTTAAGAGGCGTGTAATTTTAGTTATAAAAAAGATGTTTCGGATGTGGATAATAATGCAATTAAATAATTTGTCAAATGATCGTTTTTTTTTTTTAACAAACGATATTATCTACACTAAGGGAAATAAGGTGAGTTTAGTCTCACTGACACACCCCGACCCAGAAAGTCCACTTGGACCCTGAATCGAGCTGTGCTGGCCGACACCTGGAAGGTGACGAAGCCATAAAATGTGATAGTGTATAAAAAGTGAATGAATTTGATTCCAAAAGTGTCTAAATACCAGAGTGTGCTACGAGTGGGAGCGAACCCATTTTCACGCACGATGTCAGAGCATAAGTAAGGTACAGTAATGTGAGTAAGAATCATACCCTCAAAAATATCCATCAATACTAAGATTCGCCACAGATTCTTGTCGATAAAAACTCAGCAGCTAAAACCTGGAGGGCACCAAACAGAAGGTGTGAGTAAGCAATAAAACCAAGCTTCCCAAGTTACTACCTCTCTGAAAGTAATGCCCCTAAATGTAAAACCCGTATCGTTTTCCATAAGATAGTACAACATATATACATATATCCAAACCATACTAGGAAATGACAAAAACCACGGTTTGCCATCAAATCCACCATACATTAATAAGTAGGCCAAATGAACTAAATCAATACAAAGTGATATATCAGTCAGAGTCATCTAAAATGACATGTACAACTTATCTGTATCTCATCAATCATGACTAGCATATAAGTCGGAGTCACCTATAGTGACCTGTACGACTTATCCATATCTCATCAATCCTGGCTAGCATGTAAGTCGGAGTCACCTATAGTGACCTGTACGACTTATCCACATCTCGTCAATCCTGGCTAGCATATAAGTCGGAGTCACCTATAGTGACCTGTACGACTTATCCACATCTCGTCAATTCTGGCTAGCATATAAGTCGGAGTCACCTATAGTGACCTGTACGACTTATCCACATCTCTTCAATCCTGGCTAGCATATAAGTCGGAGTCACCTATAGTGACTTGTACGACTTATCCACATCTCATCAATCATGGCTAGCCAATAGCTCAATAAGTATACATGCACACGAGTCGGAACCACCTAAAGTGGTCTGTACGACAGGACTGGGTGTAAATAAATATACTCAAGTGCTACGATCACGTGAAGACTGGGCGAATAATCGCGGGTCACCTACGAGTCGGAACCACCGAAAGTGGTCTGTACGACAGGACTGTGCACCTACCTTGGATCCAAGGTGAGCATAAGGTGCGGGAGGTGAACATCATGTGAAGGACTGTGCCCTGGCCACGGGCGGGAGCACTAACACCGGGGTGCAGGTTTATGAGCTCTCAATGCATCTCAATATAACATGTGCAACTCATGGCAACCTATCGAAGTTGCCTAACTCATAACTGTAGTCATGCTATAACTCAATCGATTCAATTAATACCATAAACTCACCTGAACTTACCTGGGTGTCCTGAATTCACCTTTGCACTTGAAAGCATTCCCAATAATTATATGCAAGTAATATACATATGGATATATCATGATGCAATCTACTACTCAACCATGTCGTAGCATTTTCAATAAAAAAACAATATGGTGTGAAGTGTACAATCAGTAACGTCCTACTCCCAAACTACTTATTTTCAGAGATAATTATCCATGACAACCCAATTAAATCTAATTTAACTAACTAATTCACAATAACTAAAACTTGTCTTTACCAATTTCCTTCGCATTACTCAATTTCCCAAGCAAGGCTTTTGTCTCAAATATTTTATGGCTGCATCTAACGTCTCGTTAGACTGCCTACGTACCCTAAATAGGGATCAAGCCATTCGTAGTTCATATAGGTACTTTAAGCATTCACAATAATTATATGAAGGTAATATACCTAATCAATTTAAAAGTGTCGATTGAACTCTCAATAATATGCACAATAAAAAGGAAAAGATCCACTCACCTGGAGTTCACGCTATGATTCTCTAGCGCACGCATCGAGGCGTCCTGAATGATTGGTCCCTGTGACCAATTATCAAATCACATCTCAGAACTCTTATCCGTAGAATATGTAATTCACATAAAACACAACCTCAACGACATTCTAAAATAGCTTGAGACCCATTGACTACAAGTCAACCGTCGATCAAAGATCGACGGTAGGGTTTACAACCCTGTATAACTTGACCTAAAAGATCCGCATATCAGATTTTCAATCCGCAACTCCCAACGATCCACAATATGTTTCTAGAATAACATATTAAAATTTCATTACGATCCAACGGTCAGATCTCCGCCAATTGCCTAAAACAAGTGGCCGTGAACATTTATTTTACTAACTTACAAATCCACTTCAGGAAGATCCGTAAGTCGGATTCCCGATCCGTAAATTCCTATGATCTTTAAATATTATGTATTATAATGTATCCAATTTTGGTGACGATCCTACGGTCGGATCATCGATTCACATTTTTATCAAGTAACATATCGTAACGAATTTAGGTTCCAACGATCAACCTACGTCATTCAAATGACAAAACTGAATTCAAGACATTTGACATAGCCTAAAAATAGCATTGGCGGCCCACTGGCCACGCGCCGCCGCGGGTGGCGGTTGGCCGCCCCGACTCGCCGGAAAATCCAATTAATTCCAAAAATTATCAAACTTCACAGAAATGAAGATCTCAGTGAGTGGAGCAACTTTCATACCTGCCACGAAGTCCAAAAGTGGACGGAAGATGGTCAATTTTGCCCACGAAGCCGGCGGGTGCCTAAAACTTCCCGACGTCGATTCGTCGTCTACGGTGGTCCAACGGGGTCAAGGTTGGTTGGGTTTTGCTCCTGGGATGATGGGCTACAAAGCCCAAGTGGTGGCATCGGCCATCGCTTTGCCGATTTGCCGGAAAATGGAGAAGGGTGGCCGGAGCACCATTGATTTTCGTCAACTTTCGTGGCCTCAAACCTCCACATCCCGTGGTTAATCAAGGTGGTTCTTGGGTGGGTTTTGTAGAGGGGAATGAGAGCTTCAAGATGGTGGTGGCGGCATCGAAAAACTCCACCGGAGTTGGCCGGAATCGGCCTTGGAAAATGGACCCGCGGTGGGTGCGGGTATGGGTGCACGGGAAGCTTTTCCCTTTTTTTTTTTTTTTTTTTTTTTTTTTTTTTTCTTCTTCTTTCTTTCTGATTGGGCTTCCATTTAATTTAAATAAACACTAACCTTGAATAACCAATTTCGAACGTCCGTAACTATACCGTTATAATCCAGACTCGCAAACTGCTTTCGCCTATACGTTCGTACCAATGAGTACTACGAGGATATGTTAAAAGAATAAGTCCCACATCTTTCAAGTCGATGGTCAACGGAAGTCAAAGTCCTTGCTTCTAGGGCACTTTCGTAAATTCACGCTTTTAAAATAAAATAAAAACGTAAAATTTGGAACGGGTTGTCACACTCACAATAGGCTAGCAATAATGTGATTCAATCAGTTGTTTATTAAATATTATTTTCTTTATAAAAAAGGTATTTCGCACGTGGATATTAATATAATTAAATTAATTGTCAAATGATTGTTTTTTTTAACAAACTATATTATCTACATTAAGGGGGAGGGGTGACCTAATCCTCACAATGGACTAGTAATAATGTGATTCAATCAATTGTTTATTAAATATTATTTTCTCTATTCTTAATGTAAATTCTATAGAAACCGATTTTATGATGTGAATTTAGCTGCTTTAATTGGTTTATGAGGGGTTTCTACTAGCATGATCTAAAATAATTCATTTACTTCAAGTATTTGACTTTTCTTTTGTCAATTTACGCATATAAATACATTTAAAACATGTAAATCGTGCGTAGCACACCGTAATTTAAAAAATGCATTT